TTTATAGTGTTAACATTTTGCATGTTAATTTTTTAGCTTTCTTACTTTTTTAAATAAAAAACTTTGGCACATCTAAAACAATCCTTAATCATATTTTCTAAAGAGCTGTTCCAAGACTGATTCTAGTAGCACCCATGAGCAGCAGAGGTACATGTTAATGCTTAATAGAACAGCAGTTTATTTTGGTTGGAATTGCTCAGAAAACATAAGCCAAAGCTGAAGGCAGCATTGGCAAGGAGATTTATAGAGCAGAACTCCAGGGGAAATATAATGAACTACAGCAAGACTGCACAAGAAGGAAAACAAAGTAACACATAGAAGTGTTCTGAGGAAGAAAAGCAAACTGTTTTCTCCTCTGGCTGGTGTCGTGGTTTAACCCCAGACAGGACATAACCATGCAGGTGCTCACTCCCTCCCAGCCAGGGGGCTGAGGAGGAGAATCAGGAACAGAAAAGTAAAACCTGTGGGTTGAGATAAGAACACTTTAATAATTGCACCAAAGTAAAATATAATAATACTAATGATACTACTATTAGTAGGAGAGGGAAAGAAAGAAGAAAAAAAAAAAACAAACAAAAAAACAAAGAAAGGACAAGTAATGACTATGCAATTGCTTAGTCCCTGATGACCAGTGTCCAGCCCAGACCTGAGCAGCAATCATCCCCTTCCAGTTTATACACTGGGCATGACTTCTAAGAAAGGAATATCCCTTTGGCCAGTTTGGGTCATTGTTCCTGGCCGTACTCCTTCATGGCTTCTGCTGCAGCTCCTCACTGACAGAGCATGAAACCCAAAGTCCCTCACTTAGGGTAAGCACTACTGAGCAACAGCCAAAAAATCAATGTGCTATCATTATTTTCATACTGAATCCAAAATCCCAGCATTGCTCTGAAGAAGAAAATTATCTCTGTCCCAGCTGAAACCAGAACAGTATCCAACCCTTATTCCACACCACTTGTGTCATGCCGGGTCCCACACTTCCAAATACCCCATCACCTTTCCCATCTTTTGCTGGATATACCTACAGATACCATTCTCCAAGTCTATAGGCCATCTTATTGAAGTCCACTGAATTCATCTAATCCGTGACCCCAGTCCTCATCTTTCATAATAATTTTTCAGGGCAGGAAAGATGGCACGTGATGTTGGATTGTTGCATGTTGAAAACTGTTCTGATTCCATCATCACTGTGCCACCATCAGTTGCATGATGTGAAGAGGAGACCCTTCCTTCAAATATCTAATTCAGCATGAGTAACCAGAGTGCCAGGAGGAGCTGAGCTTCAGTACCAATCACTTCCAAATATGCTTCAACACCTTCATAAGCTGCCAGTAGCTCTTCATCATTACAGTATAGTGGGCTTTAGATCCTCTGGAGTCAATGTGACTCCATAAGGATCAGTCTTGAGTCTCTCCTGGTACTTTCTACCAGAGGCTCCAAGTAGGACTGTCTCCCCTGTCTGTGGTGTACAGCACATTCACATTTTGCCCTGTTCAGACTGGCTCAAGGGCTCTTGCTTGTATTGTCTAGAGGCTTGATGCTCAGGGCCTCAGTTGAAATCATTCTTCCTGGACACTTGAGAGGGCTGACAATCGGACTGCAGTTTGGAATGTGCATTCTCGAAATACCTGCAGAACCTAAGAAAGCTTCTATTTCTTTCTTGTTAGTTGGTGGAGACATTGCTGTTTTTTATGATCACATCCATTAGGATGTGGCAACACCCTTCTCACTGCTGTAGTTCCTAAAGTTGCATCTCCTGTGCAGGTCCCTTGACCTTTACTTTATTTTATGGCAAAACTATTGGTAGACTATTTTCTTCCCTTTCTCAAATACTTCTGATGTATCACCACACAATGATATCATCTACATACTGCAGGTGTTCCCCAGCTTCACCCACTGTTCCACTGCCTCTGGATCCCTCCATGGCTGATGGTGGGGCTGTGCTTCCTCCCCTGGGGCAGTCAATTTCAGGTGTGCTGGACGTCCCTCCAGGTGAAATCGACTGGAGTGTGAGTAGCTCCAATGCTCGTTAACAGAATTTGAGTAGCTTCAGAGCCCGTTGGTGGAATTTGAATGCGTTTCCTCCCTCGAGGGGCATTGGGGCTGGGTGTAACTATTGACAGATCCCGGCAGGTGGCTCCCGAAATACGAAGCGATGCTGAGCGCTCCGGGCTCGCCCCGCAGCCAGCGGCTCTCACCAGACCAAAAGCCGATACGGGGAAGTACAACAGAACCCAGGCCTCGAAGGCGACAGACACCAAAACAGCAACAAATGCTGCAAGTAAGGTATTGCATAACACAGCCCTGAGAACAAGCGCAACCACTCTGGTGGCAAATAAATCAGCATTGTAACCGGTGACTATTAAATGCAATGAAGGCTTGTAACTTGTTTTAATACTCTCTGGTCAGATCAGTCATCATCTCAACTTTCCAGGCCCTACGTTGAGCAGCAAGGAGACTGTCATGGCTTAATCCAGACACCAACCACCAGGCAGCTGCTCAATGCCAACCTCCCCATGAGATGAGGAGAATCAGGAAAAATGGGGTGAAATAAGAACAGTGTAATAATTGAAGAAAAATAACTACTCATAATACTAATGTAATAATATTACTAGTATAAAAAACATAGGCACAGAGAGAGAGGAAAAAAACCCAAGAGAAACAAGTGATGTACAGTACAATTACTCACCACTCACTGGCCAATGGCCACCCTACTTCCAAGCAGTGATCATCCCCTCCCAGCTGACTCCCCCCCAGTTTATATACTACATATAAGCATATAAGCATGACATTCTGTTGTATGGAATATCCCTCTGGCCAGTTTGGGTCACCTGTCCTGGTCGTGCTCTTTCATTGCTTTTTGTGCAGCTCCGCACTGGCAGAGGATGAGACACTGAGAATATCCTGACAAGAGAAGCACCGCTCAGCAACAGCTGAAATATCAGTCTGTTATCCTTATCCTCACACTGAATCCCAACCACAACACTGTACAAGATACTGGAAAGAAAACTACCTCTATGCTAGCTGAAACCAGGACATTTATGGTCTAAGACTACAAAAAATTAGGAACTCATCTTTAAAAACACAGCTCTTTGGGCAATGAACAGGCCCAGATGAAGTTAGTAGTAAACACCTGTGTGATAAGATTATCAGTACAAAGTTCTTAGAAAGAGTTAGAATGTGGTCCTGAAGTGCTGAATCCTCAGTGACCCTTCTCAGGTTCATCCCAATGGAGCTCTAATTGCAATAATTTTCTTGGAAAGATGGTCCCCATATAAACCGACCCTTGTTCTCAGCACCTGGGCTTCTTCCAGGGCTCTAAAAATAATTGTTTGGCTGTATTCCCAAGAAATAAAAGCACAACCTTTCAGGTTTAAGGGATGCCAGCAGAGGAAGGAAGGCAAAGGGAAAATGCTGCATCAATCTCGTAAGGATGTACAGAATCTGCACATTACAAAGAAGATGGAGGTTGCAGAGGTGCTGCAATGCCACTGTGGAATGGCAGCCACCCCACCATCCTGGGAGGGAGATGCCCACCCTGTGTAAGGAAATAAAGGCAGTGGGGGGCATAGGTGCAGACTCAGCCTGGCCTCAGGCAGTGAAGGCAGAATTTCATTCTCTGATCTGCATGACTTACACAGATAGGTGGAGCTAGATCATTCCCAATAAGATGAGTTAAAAAGAAATTTTCGAGCTTAATTTTAGTCTTGCTAATCTGAAAATGCATTTGCTATTTTCAACTCCCTGCCACAGGCAAATGAACAATGAGTAAGGGCTGTGTTGGCAGGCTGAGAGGTATGGAGAGGTTCCCAAAAAGCAGCAGAGGGATGCTGTAGCTTTTGCATTCCAGTAACTGGCTTCCTTCTTCTGCTTAGGACAGGACATGCCATCTGTTCCCAGCCATCCCAGGAACTGGGCTGCTGGGAATTAGCCAGGCTGTGATCCAGAGAAGTGCCTGGATACCGCCTCTTGGGGAAGTGATTTCAAAGCAGAATATCCAGCTGTGTGTACTGCCCCCAAACAACAGAACTGCACAGAAACAACAGCCAGGAGCTTGGCTTCCCTAAGCAATCACAACTTCTGCAAGAAGTTATGCTGAGCATTGGTACAAAGTAAAAATCCAGCTGTTGATTTCCTTTGCTCTGGCAAAGGAAAATTCAGATGCTACAGGAGCTGATGCTCCTTCCTTTCCAAGCAGGAAGGAGAGAGCAGCCTGGAAAATACTCCAACCTTCAGCTAATGCTTCACTTCTGATAGACAAACATGCTCTTTACCTTGCTCCTATCTTAAGTAAATATTTCCCCAAGAATGTTGTCAGCTCTCCAGTCTGATGCCATTAATTGATTTTCATTAAATCAGGGGACTGCTTATGTTCCAGATAAAGCACAGTCTGCAGAGTGGCCCCTCAGGCCCTGGTAGTTGCTAGTGAAGTACAGCATGGATCAGCTCAGCCACTTCCAGCTGGTACAACCTGTACAGGCCACATGGGTCTGGCAGCAAAGATGGAGAGAAGCAGTGTAGGGTGTCTCTTGCTGGTTAATTAGTGTCTCCAAGCAAATTCAGACAGAAGTGAAGAGTTTCAACAGTGATAGAAAGATGGCAATAGATGCCAGAGGTACAGTCATACTCCAAAGCACTGAAAGGACATATCTTGACTGCTGATGCAAGATAATATCACATGCTCTCTGCATGTGGTGCTATGTGGCCAAGTTAATTCCTGTCTTATGGATTCAGAGTCCCAGCGTTCATGTTTCTCATGGAAAAGGTGTGTTAAAGGGAAAATGCAGGCCTGGGGTAGCAGCCTGTGTAACCAGAATAGCTTTTGCATGCGTTTGGAGAGCACATTTCAAAACCAAGATCCCTATTTCTGTGAAAAGGGCACATTACAGGATTTGTATGTGCCTTTCTGCTCAGCTCACCAGGCTGTCATGGATCTTTTGCTGTTTCCATGACTTGCTGACCCCTCCTCTGGCTCCAAGCATTTGAAGCTGAGCCCTTTGGCCAAACAGCCCTTGCTGAAATGTCAATACACTACAGAACACTGGCTCACAGGGTTCATCATGATTTCCAGGCAGTATGTGGCTTTGTTTCTCTGCTTTCTGCTACTGATCCCTCTTTCTCTGGATGCAGGTATGTTGTAGGATATAGCTGTAATGATGCTTACTGGAAATTGAGCTCTTTCCTCTTTCCTGTTACTGAGGTGATTTCCACTGCAGGTTTTTGAGCACTGTTGCATGTTTTTCCTGTCTCCTGCTGTGCCTGTGTGTTATTCTAAAGCTCTCATTTACTCTCAGAAATGCTCCTTGCCCTTTTTCCGCCAACTAAGGAAAAGCACCTCTAGACTGATAAATTAATTTTTTATCTTGGTGCACAGACAGCAGGCAAACCACCAGCTGTCTACATGAAGAAAGGAACTGGGATTTACTGTTATTTCATGCAGAACTGGGACATTTTTCAAAGCAAAACATCAATAGCCTGTCATTCAGCTGATGAGTAATTAAAGTGGGTAGGATCCACCCTGTTTCAGTAGAAGGCAGAGAAGAGGTAGCTCTTCAGCTGCTCAGTGTATGTCCAAAAACCAGCTCCCATATTAATAAAGCAGATCCAGTGCTCTCAGATCCCCCATTAGCCATTGACTAGGTCTTGTTTGTTGCAGTGAGGAAAGGTGGAAACATAGGTAGCAAAGTCAGAAATTATCCAATAAAAAAAAGTGGATAATGCCAAAATTAGTGGATGGATGTCCCAAGCCATGTGCTCAGGCGTGCTTCTCTGTCAGAGTCTGTGCCCATGCACTGATACATATGCCACGTATCTGCAGCATAAGGTTAATTAAAAGCCTTTAAGGAAAGCCATATCAAATGCATACAACCTGACTGAAATTGAGGCATAAAGATGCAGCTGAAATTCCTATAATGACCAAATGCTTATGAAGCACCCAGGGATAAATTCAGCACACAATACTTCATTCTTCTAAGTAACCTTGAAATACAGGGGGAAATTACCACTATTCTGCACGCAATATCTGAATCAACAAATATCTGGAATTAGAGACAAATGTTTATGGAGACACCTCACATCACTTCAGACTGGAAAGAACCCTCTTAGCATCTATGATTAGGTGTGTATTGCTGATGACACACGAGTTTGTTTTTCAATACCCCTCAGGGCCCCTTCAGCAGGCAGAAGATAACTCCCACGCTTTTGGAAAGGAGTCCTAGGGAAAGGCAGGAGATATATATCAGACTCAATCCCCAGATCTACCCACAAACAGAGGTGTAACAGTTAAAGCACTGAAATGTGAGCTCCCCTACAGATGTAAAGGAGAAAAAGGAAAAAAACGGAAAAACTAAAAATTTCAATACTTTTTCTGTGTAGTGCATGGAGTAAAATTACACACCAGCACTTGGACTTCTTGTTCCTTATCCTGAATTATACTGCGAGAGCACAGCTGTGTGATGTGCTACTATCCTGAGGCTGAGGTCAGCATGGTGACCATGACATTAGTGTGTCCAGTGCACACTTCTGCCAGTTGCAAGCTGCAGTTCTAGGAAATGAACTCTGCTGATGCCTGCTATCAAACCTATGTACCCAATATCTTTCCAAAGCATGGTAGATACACACAAGAAGACCCCTTCCTGGCTGTAGTCTGTAGTGATGGCAGGAGCTAGGAGCCATTCACAGGCTCCACTAGGACATGCAGCTAGCATTTTCCAGCTTTCCTATACATAACATAACCTTTTCCATATAATAAAATTAAAGATAATATATTAAAGCAGTGGCTCAAAATTGTGGTCTACTAGAGGAGGGATAAATCCTTTCGTCAGGTCCAACAAGTGGAGGGGTGTGAAATACATGTGACCTTGAGCGAAGGCAGGACTGTGGTCCACCTGTCACTGTGACTGACTATCAAGTACAGAAAAATCAGCTTTTACCATGTACACTAGTGCTAGATAAAGTGACACAAGCTTTCCAGTGCCATGTACACCAGTGCTTGATCCAGTGACACAGGCTCTCCCAGTGCTCAGATGCATATGACATGCAACAGTACCTCAGGAGTCACTGACATGCATACAACACACACAGCCCACTGCTGTAACATACCATCTTCTCTGAGTTCTGGCATCTCTAAAATTCCTCTGTTGTCGCTTTACCTTGAGGCAGGCCAGAGAAAGGAGGCTCTTTCACATCTGCCCATTTTTTTCTTAAGTGTCTCAGAAAATCTTGGGAAACAGAAATGCTTTCAGGGAAAACTGCCCCCCCATCCTCTCTAGCAAGCGCAGTCATATGACAAACAGAACATGCCTCTGCTTTTCAGTCTTTCTAAAGCAGGAAGAGGCAAGCAATGTTTTGGAAAGAAAAAGACGAGCCAACAGCTTCTTTGAAGAGATAAAACTGGGGTCACTAGAGCGAGAATGCATGGAAGAATTGTGTTCCTATGAGGAAGCAAGAGAGATTTACGGTGATCTTGAAAGAACAGTAAGTAACATAGGGCTGGGCAAGCACTCATTGTCACAAGGACTCTCCCTATTCAAGGGACACTTTAAACCACCAGAGTTAAAAAAGCACTTTGTGTCCTGCATTTTGCATTTTTCTTTTCTATTTACAGGGGTACACAGCAGCAGTGAGTCGCAGGAGAGCATACTGCATGGACAATCCCAAGCAGTAACCATCTAAGGGATGGTGGGAAAATGGATGCTCTCTAAGACAAACCCCCAGTAATGCCTGCCCTGACAATACTTTTAATTATTGTATTGTGCCACATTTTTTTCAGTCAATCCCACCTCAGCTATACATATCTTATTTATGTTTGACCCACTTATGTGCATTAAACAAGTATATGAAAATAATGTACAATCTAGAAAACAGAATATTTTATGGATATTAGCTGTCACAAACTATAAAGGCAGAAGTGACATCACTCTGTCTGTAACCCATGCTGTGCAACAAGGGCTGTAAGACTTGACTTGATTCTTCTTTAATCAAATCTCACATCTTTTTCTTCCAGGAAGAGTTCTGGCGCACCTATTCCGGTATGATCATTCAGGATGTTCTAACAGCTGTGGAACACTCCCGCTGCTGCAGCTCTTTGCGTGAGCTGGACTGACACTGAGTGTTTTACAGACCCCAACCAGTGTGCCTCCAACCCCTGTCAGAATGGTGGGATTTGTGATGACCAGTTCCAGGATTATGTTTGCCGCTGTCCTGTCGAATACGAGGGCAAGAGCTGTGAAAAAGGTCAGCTGTGGCACAACTTACCAAAATAAAAATGTCGTTATTGATTCAAATGCAAGGCATTGAGATAAACAATAGCAGTCATTGTAATTCAGGATTTGGACTTGATGATCCTCGTTGGTGCCTTCCAACTCAGGATATTCTATGGTTCTGTGATTCTGCATCATTCTAGCTGTGACAGCTACTGTCATAACACTTTTGGTGCTGCGGGATGGATCTAACCAGGTAGCAGTCAGGCACTGCAAGGCAGCAGAATACTTAATTGCCCTATAATGATTTTGTGGGGAAAAAAAAGAAAAATTGTATTTGCGCACCATCTGAGAAAAAAGAAAGAATTATTTCCTACTCAAGTGCTGAAGTTATTTTAACTTAGAAGCTCCATGCAGTATGTGAGAACTATACTGCATATGTACAAAGCCCAAAGGAAAGGATCCCATGGTTTATGAAGTTAATACACATCTTTCCACTGATTTCAGAAGACACTGAAACATTGAACATTGAGTGTTACATCCTCAGAACATGCAGAGTCTGGACAAGAGCTAGGCACTCATCAAGTCTAGGCAGGCAGTCTCAACAGTCATCCCAGAGCATCTTCCATGCTAAATGGCAAAACATCAAAGAATTAAAATTTTTCAGTCATATTTTATAATGGTTACCATACAATTACAATATCTCAAATCTTGAGACAGCTCAGATACTGTATAAATGCTGATTGATTTAATTTTATGTATATCTTTCTTAAACAAAGCCTATTCTCCCCTAATCCCTGGAGATCCAGGCCTACTTAGCTTTTGATGGAAGGCATTTTTGATGAAGTTCCTCTGCATAAATCACAGAAATCTTTTTTCCTGCTTTGCTTTCCTGATGACATTCCAATTGTAAGTTATCAATGTTAAGCACAAAAATCCAAGTCTTGAATCCTAAATTCTCTTTCTGTGACTTTAGCTGTGACTGACAAACTGAAGTGCATTTTTGACAATGGTGGCTGTGAACAGTACTGTACTGACAAGCAGTCCAAAATACGACTGTGCTTCTGTGATGATGATTACACTTTAGCAAGTGATGGCGTGTCCTGCATCCCTCGAGGTAAGACACTATCAGCCTGATGCTAAGTCTAAGCCAGCTCTGGAAGAAAACTTTTCAATATGTATATGTCAGGACATGCAATGCATAATGCTTGGATACCAGCTCCTCACCTCTTCAACTGGGAGGGTAGTGCAAGTTAATCTTTTTGGCAATACATAAGCTGGCACCTGACTCTTTTGCAGATGCCTACTTGAATTACTTTATTAGAGGGAAAAGGAGACCCCTGAGGGTATGAACATAACAACATAATGGACAGAGCCACAGGGAGCATGCAAAGTAATTTTGAGGAGTGGTGCTCCCCTGCATACACTTCAATGGAGCACTCATGCAGAGAGCTTGTAATGACAACCTAGCTCTCAACAGCAGCAATTTCATTAGAAAAAAATGTCTACTAATGTGCTTACCCCTTACTAACAGATTCTGCAATACCACATGATGGGAAAGCTGCTTTTGTTAAAAGCTAGGAACAAACAATTCAAAATTCCTCACAGGCTTTTCAGTGCATCTTTCCCTGCAAGGAAGATGTATTTATTGCTGGTTGCTTCTTGGGGACCAAAATAGCTGTAAAATTTGCCATGTGTTGCAAGGAAAAAAAACTGCGTAACTGCCAGGCTGACAGTCCCCTCACTGTCCCTCTGTCATCTCCCACAATGGCCTAAATTTGTGTTGCTCTACACACAGCATTAGAGACTATGGGTGTCATGTGTTATGTCTGTTTAATCTTTCACCAGCTGCCACCAAAAAGCATCCTGTTTCTCCATACCTTGCATGTACATGTAAAACCTTCATGCTGTCTTCATGTCAGCTGAAGTACTTACAGCTCCACGAAGAGATTGCATGCAGCTCAGCAGAGACTATAGGACCCTGGCTCCCAAAGAGGTAGAAAAAGAGCACTCCTTCTCACAGCATTATCACAGAGTGAAGAGACTGCCAGACAGAAGGGATGGTGTGTTCAGTTACAGCACAGACACCTGGCACACAGGCACCCCCAAGGGTAGACCTTCTCCTTTACAGGAAAACTCAGCTGGGTGAAGGATGTACTGGAAACACCAAGATTTCCTCTGCACTACAGCTTAAGTGCAAGTTCAGTCAGGATTTGATTCTCTTTATGGCCAGTCTTCACATGCTGGCTCAGGCAGAGCAGAGATATGCAGTCTGGAAGAATCCAGCAGGCTCTGGACACAAGCAAACAAGGTAGTGAGGGAGAGGCACACCACGAGACAAATTTCTGCCGTTGGGACGTCTTTGGCTCTGCCCAAACAAAGAATGGCAAGAGTACATGCCACGATTAAGCCTCTGTCTCACTCTGCCATGGATACAGTGCACTTGGTACAACTGACTTAAAGTCAGCAGGGACAAAGAAAATGTGTAGACTACAGAGGTTATCAGGGTCACTTCTGCACTCCAGCCTGCAGCCTACCTCATTGTGTTGATGTGTATCTTAAGCAGGTTTATTGTCTGCAAACAGCTATGGTAGGTGAGTCCATGTCAGTGATACTGTAAGGGCCTCAACTCTAATTTTAAGAGCATTTCCGGCTGTTTCCAAACAAAAAATGACTATTTACCTGCTGAGCTGCTTTACATTATTTTTGAGAATTCATGGTCCTAGACTAGAAATCAGTTTTTCAGCTGACAAAGCTTCTCTGAAGACATTACACATTTTGCTGTGAATTCAGTACAATAAAATCCTTGTTGCCTTTTGTTGTTTGGGTTTTGCTTTTTTGGTTTTTTTTCACAGTGAAATACCCATGTGGAAAAATACCAGTGCTGGCAAAAAAAAGTTCAACTGCACATGGGAGAATAGTAGGTGGTTTCATCTGTCCTCCAGGTGAATGTCCATGGCAAGTGAGTTTTCAAAAATCTTTCACCGCTTTTATTTTTCAAATTTCTTTATAAAACCACTACACTAAATTCATTGCTTTAAATCTATGATGTTAAAAATTCATAAAAAGTGCCATGTCTTGATAACCAAATTCCTTCTTCATCCATAGTCAGCAGATCTACCTGTTCCACTTAGGCAACTTAGCTTTGTTCTGGAGTACCTGGTTTCATAGGATTAGAGTGGTAGCACAGCTGTCTCTATCTCCTCACCCCTTAGTCCTTAACTTCACTGCCAGCAAGAATTTTAGTTGCACCTTTAGTGAGATACGCTTTGGGCCATATGCAATATGCAGGGTCCATACTGCAAGATGAAGAAAATTTCCACGGGAAGTCTTCCCTTGCCAAGTTCACCATGCAGTCAAACACACCATGGTATTGTCAAACACAGCTGCATAAAAGGACAGAAAGAATCAATATGAAACCCATCTCTACTGAGATTTATGTCAAGAACATTTGATGAAAAACATTAATTTGCTTTATGTTGGCAGGCCCTTATAATACAGGATCAGAGAGAAAAGTGTGGTGGCACCCTGCTTTCCCCAGAGTGGGTGGTCACTGCAGCTCACTGCTTGGAGCACACTAACCCTAAAGAGCTTCGGGTGAGACTGGGTATGTATCTTCCCCTCCTCATCTTATCAAGGTGGTGGCAGCTTCTCAACCTGATAAAATCAGAGTAGGCACCTTTGGCAGTACAAGGTAATTGTCCTTAGGGGTATCAGACTAGAAACACCCCACATCCTCAAACCTCCAAGGACTCAAGGAGCTACCTGACATGACCTGCGATTAATAACTTTTCCAGGTGAACACAAGATAAATGTTGATGAGAAAACTGAGCAAGAAAGTGGAGTTGCCAGGATGATCATTCACGAAGAATACAAGAATGGACAGGTCAACAATGATATTGCCCTCTTGAACCTGGAAACACCCGTGAATCTCACCGACTATGTGGTGCCAATATGTTTGCCTGAGAAAAGGTTTGCTGTGTTTGAACTGTCCACCATCAAGTTCTCCACAGTAAGTGGATGGGGACGACTAATAGATGGAGGTGCCACCTCTTCTGTTCTGATGAGAGTTGATTTGCCACGTGTAAAGACACAAGAATGTGAAAAGGAGACCGATTTAAATATTACAGAGAATATGTTCTGTGCAGGAGACCTGTCTGGGGTTAAGGACTCCTGCAAGGGAGACAGTGGTGGTCCTCATGCTACACAGTACAAGAACACTTGGTTTCTGACTGGGGTTGTCAGCTGGGGAAAGGGCTGTGCTGTTGAAGGCAGCTATGGGGTTTACACAAGGGTATCCAAATACATCGACTGGTTGAGGAAGCACATGGACTAATGATGTTGAGCCACAGCATTTCCAGGTTGTGTTATTGCCCCCCAGTCCGTTTGTACCATTTTCCCATTGAAGGATTCCTTCATATTCTTGGATATTTGATGCAGGCCATACTCACAACACTATTAAAGATTTGAAGTGAGCCTAAGGCCTACTTGAATACATAAAATAACTTCCCTCTCAGTGCTGTCTGTAAACTTGTGTATCTTGTCAAGCAGGCAGAGAACAACCATAACAAATCAGACACAATGTCCCTCCTGTTCTGCATCAATTTCTGCTAAAGGTCAGATGCTGAGAGAAAGACTGTCAGTAATACATCATGCAGATCATAAGCCTTCCTCCCACTACCCTCTGAACTTCTGGTAATCAGTGAAGTACAGACTTCCTGAGCCAGAAGTTGCATTAGATTGAACAGTCATGAATGAATGTGTTGTCCATAATTGTGTGCAATCTCCTTTAAACATGTTTATGCTCCTGGCTTTCATAGCTTCCTATGCTATGGATCCTGTAATATAATGATAAAATAGCAGGAACAAAAATAGAAAAGGTGCTTCCTTTAGCTTATGTTAGAGCAGCTTTCTCCCGCAGTTGCAGTGGCAACAGGGAGATTTGAAGGGGAGGAACTGCAGGCACTCTCCAGGACAAGGAAATCTGGAAAGAGGTTGATTCCATATTTACAAGTCTGCTATGAAAACTTGATTTAAATCTTATTGCACCAAGCACTATTGCTATAAGGCTAGTAAGTGCAATATTTAACCCTATATTTATGAGTGATAAAGAATACCACTGATTTAATCTTATATTTGCCTTGATATTATGCTTGTCTATAGAAAGAGTGCAAATAAAAGGGAATGTTAATCAGTTGTCCAGTATAATCTCAATTGTACTCCTATCCTGAGATCTAACCAGAACAGGATAATTGTCTACCCCTCTGTGAAACGCTGACCAAAGACCATTCACTAAAGTCTTAAGGCATAAATGATAGCTCTGAAACTCTCTGAAAACATACAGTTAAAAAATGTCCTTTCTAACCTTAGTCTGAAAACACTGAAAAGGTGAGGAAAATAAAACTGAACTAGCAGATTGGAAAACAGTTTAAATATCTGATGCAGAATTTATGCTCTAGATTGTTCAAAAAATGCAGAATATCAACTCAATCACAAAAGCTTATCAGAAAGTAGGACACAACTGATCATACTCTATTATTAGGGGGAAACATTGTCATTGTATGGTATATACCATGCAATACTGAACATCCTATAGCCTACTTTACTAACAGAGAAGGAAGTTTTACTGTTCATTTAGGTAGTGAAGTGAACTAGGAAAGGCAGCAAATTTCAGAGACCTGAGAAACAAGGGATGTTACAGTATATATGCATACGTGCACTAGACATTCTCCTTACTCCTAAAGAGAGTCCAGTCTCAAGGAGAAAGTAAGTAGTGACCAGCAAATAAAGCTTCATTTTCATTTAGATGAGGTGCTCGGCACTGTAAAACCATCCCTGACGACCCCTCAAGGTAGAATAGTTTCTATTTACCATGATCCATAATATGATTTCTCCTCTATAACATTCCAGTGAAAATACTTATATTTGTGAACAAATCACCTTGCAGAAAAAAGGGTAAAACGCCAAAAGAAATCAGTACTAATAACTGCCGCACAAAATTACTTTTTCAAAACAAATGTGGGTTTTAGATTATTTTTTTTAATATAACAGCCTGCTTAGGAAAGCCAAGAAGACGAAGGAGACCTGATGGCCGGCTCTGGAAGCACTGAGGACTTGGCCTCCAGCGTGCACTGCGAACTCCCCACAGGAAAGGGGAAACTGAGGCCAGTTTCAGCAGGCCAGCGCCCGGCCGAGGTCACTGCTGCAAAGCGCGGAGCCAACAGGTTACAGAGCTGGATGTGGATGGGGCACACGGCCGGGAGCAGCTGCAGCGGCCGGGAGCCCGGCTTTGCCCAGCGCCGGGCCGGGACCACGCCGGCGTATTGAGGGTCCATTCACCTCCCTTCCTCCAAAATAAAAGGTGCCATTTATAAACTAAAAAAAACCAAACAAACAAAAAACAAAACAACAAAAAAAAAAAAACCAACAAAA